ATTTTCTTTTTGGGGATTTTCTTTCTCTTTGGGTCACCCTGCCTCGGTGGGAGATGGCTGACTTGTTGAAAAAAAAAAAAACACACATTCTTAGGCTGTAAGAAGGCATTTGATACTGTACCCCACAAGAGGCTGAGCCAAAAACTTAAAATTCTGGGCAAGAATAACAGGGAATATACTCAGGGAAGGAGTGTCAGAATAGGGAAAATAACTAGCAGAGTTCCACAAGAATCAGCTCTAGGACCAGCACTATTTATGATTTGTGTGAATGACGTTCTAGATGGGATTGCTTCAGATGTATCCCCATTTGCTGATGTAAAACTGATGGGTAGAATAAAAACAGATGAGAAAATGGAAAGGCTCCAAATGGATCTCGACAAACTGCAAGATTGGTCACATAAGTAATTGCTTGAATTCTATCTTAGCAAATGCTAGGTAATGAAGACTGGAAAAGGAACAATAAGACCAGAAACTGTAAACAGATTGGGTTGGGGTGGACAGAGGCTGCAGACTTTACTTAAAGAGAAAGGCCTAGGGATAAGCATAATGCCTGGTATATTGCCAGAGACTCCTATCAGCCAAATAACCTTTGAAGCCAATGCTCATCTGGCAAATCTGGGAATAGCCTCCTACAGGAATCTCAACAGTCATTTTGGACCATTTATACAGCATATGTCAGGTCCACTTGCTTCTACTTACACCTATCTAACATGCTCACCCAAGAATGCTGGATGTCCAAGCCCCTAGTACTCTAACCCCCACCCTCTAACCTTTCTAGGATGACCCATAGCCCTCCTTATCTCTACCTCAAATTTATACATCCTCCTAGAGTCATCCTGTTGTCCTCTATCATCTCTAAATTAACAAAGCACCTCAACAACCCCTAAATTAACAAAGCACCTCAACAACCTGCATAATATTCACACCACACACCACACCCTCAGCATAATATTCACAACACACATTGTCCTCAAACATGTCATCTCTACTGCCTCCATCTTCTTTGCTGCAACATTCAAAACCCATGCTTTACACCCATACATCAGTGTTGGTACCACAATACTCTGATGCACTTCCCTTTCTGCCTCTATGGATCAAGTTGTTTTTTTCTGTAGAGGCTTCAGAAACAAAGCACTTCATCCCTGGATTAAAAAAAGGGGAATGTATCAAGGTATAGTGGTATATGGATTTATCAGCTACAATTTAATTATATCTTGAGACAGGAAACAAGGAAATAAACAGGCAGACAAAGTCAAGAATCAGGAACAGAGTTAGAAAGACAGGGAACCTAAGTAACTATGTATATGGTAATGGAGGAAATTATGAGATGGAAAAATGTAGTAGACAACAAAGCTTAGGCAAAGAAAATAGGGTAAGAGTAATGCCCTCAATTTCTTACATATGCTATTCTATGAGTAATTAAGGTCAACCAACCATCTACTTACATATAGTATTCACATTTGATTATTTAAAATATTGGTATTTCCCACCAAGGCAGGGTGACCTGAAGATGGAAAACACATTCACCATCACTTATTTGCCAATTGTCTTTCAAGAAGAGCATGGATATCACATTTCCAATGATCCAATGATATGCAATATCCCCACCCATCCTTCAGATTGCTATTGGAATATTTCTTATAAACTGCAATAATAAATACTATTTATAATCTCAGAATCTGTTAATTAAAGATTAGAATTTTTTATCAAAACCCTAACAGCTGGTTAACAGGGTTTAAGCCTATCAACCATACTATGGTCATTAAGGCTGCACATAACCTTTTTACCACCAGACAAGACTACTTTAATCCCTAAAAAGAGGGATTAAAGTAAACTCTCAGTTTATATATGCCCAGAGAAATATACCTCTTAGTATATATACCTTGTGTGGGTCTTCACACAGTGTGGAGGTACAAATTTTGCTGCACTCCATAACAAGTGCTACACTCAATTATTGGTATTTATGATTCTTCCTCTGGCACTGTTAACATGTCACTCCCTTTCACATATCACACTGCTAAAATGTCTTTTAGAAAGCACCCTTGCCCTTTACTAGCATCTACATAATCTATCACACCATGTGTGTGATGTAAGTATTACAAAGAAAATAAGACACTCAGCAACAGCTGGATAAAAAGAGAGAATGATGAGATGAAGCAGTTGATATAATTCTATGCCAAAACTACAGATTCTCATTATAAAATATTTTCAACTATTACTGCAACAAAGCTAATTTTTCTTGGAAAAAACTTGGCACAAGCAAAAACTGAACCAAATCTCCCATTCTTTTTTTGTAAAAAAGCCAACTAAATGTTAAAAATAAAATAGCCATCATAATAAACTTTCTGGAGAATCATCATTATACTACTAACATTTGCTGCAAGGATGCTGGTTACTGCTCAGACCAAAGTGCTGATTCCATAAGTTTTGGAAATGCATGTGTGTCTGAAGCCCATCACAAGATTATGTGGATGTCTAAATTTGTGTGTATAGAAGTGGTAGGATCAACTGTTAAAATACATTCACTGGTGAGTATTGAAGTAAAGGGGTGCCTGCAATTGGCTGATTACCCTAAAGGCCTGATCTGTAACTAACCAAGAAAACATAGCCACAATTTCTGCAGCAAGTGTCAGCACTGCAGGATGAGTCATAGTGAAAGCCCTTCAAAAAATTAATAACATGAAATAAGCCAGAAGAACCTGGTCTGTAAATAACAGTTCTCAGTTGGGGAAGCACACAAACAATGATGAAGTTGTTCCAAAACCTCTGGACACCTCCAAAGAAAGTTGTAACTCTGCTTTCCAGCCCAAACACCTATTTGACTGCTCAGGAAGAAAATGAGTGGCAAAAAAGACACTTGTATAAATACTTCAAGAAATACCATAAGGTACTAATACCATAGCTTAAAGAGAAGTTCTGCCCTAGTGGGAAGGAGCAGATGGCTACCCCACTGATCCGAGCAAATAAGGACCAGGAATGAGTGTGTTTTCCAAAGAGTAAAGCAACAGATGTTGGGATTTGACTTTGTTAGTATGTTTTTCCTTCATAGCTGGAGATAATAGAGTTTTACAATGGAATCCTCATGAGCTACTGCAGCTTCAGATGAAAAATCTTAATTTTGACCTAAATGCAACTGCATGACTCAAGTCAAGGAACAGGTCATCAGAAGCAAGGTGTTAGTACTGGTAATGTGAGACAACACTATTAGGCTTAATAGTTGGGTGGTGACCAACTATAGAATACTGAAGCTAGAAAGAGGGCTACTGTAAACCCTCTGATGTGTATTATAGTAGCTCTATGCAGGGTGTTGAAAACCTGCTCATGTGTTTGTAATGTTAGAGTGTTAAATTGCATGCACTGTCACCACACACTGTACTGTTGGATATGGGTCAACTGACCTGGTATATGAAGAACCTCCCAGTGACTAGAACAATGTTGTTGGGAGCAAACTTGTTATGTTATGATGCCTGCTTGAAAATTATTATAATACTGTATATGCATTAATTTCTGAATATTTTGTAGTAATTGTCCACCACTGGCGTACAGTTGCCCAACCCAAGTCCTGCACATCTGAAAAAGGAAAGGGACGGAGCCAATCTGGAGATAATTATTCTCCATGGTGTACAGCAGTAAAACAAATTCTAGACGTGCCCATAAGGCATGGACTGATGTACGTGACTTCCAATGCCCTCAAGAGACAGCAGTGGAATTTTCCCTTATGCCAGGCCGATGTAACTAAAGAAAACACCTTATAAGGGATTATTCGTTTATCTTTATTTTTAATAATGATATCCCGTGTATGTTAAACTTATTTTCAATAATTACTAGGTTTAAATGTAGGAATTTTACAAGAGAAAATGAGAGAGATACTCTCACAATGTACAACATGTCATATACTGCTAAAGACATCAGGCGTGCCATGCTCAAGAGTTGACTGGAGGAAGTAGCCAGTGGTGTTGTGCAGGGCATTAGTCCTGGGAGGATTGAGCTGAAGATCCCACAGGATAAAAAAAAAAATCGACATACAGCAAAAACTGGATTCCCCTTTGTCTGGTATTACTCCAACATCAGAGCCACCATAAAACATTCTGAATGTAATAGTAGATTTATCCCCACCCTTTTTACTGTATGGTGAATCCAACACGTAGAAGTGTGTGTGACCTTATACTCATGAACATACACCACAGGAAAAGTTACATCCTCCAAATGAAGGCACAGTGTGAGCAAGGTTGACCAAGAAAGCTTATAAAACTGGGATGAAAGAAAGAAGGTATAAAGCACATCCCAGGAAGGGCTGAAAGGTTATAAAGAAGGTTTTGCAAGGTACAGTATGAGGTTTCAATATCTAGCAGGCATGTGTGTCTTATACTGGAGTGAGAGGTGACTAAGTAGTTTTTGGGATCTGACATGTTTTTAGAGTGTGAGCAAGGTATAGTGTTCTGGAGGTAGAAGTACAGTACATATGTGTAATATGTTAATACTTTAAAATCTGTTCACACTCATAATTAATGACTTAAAATGAAGTATAATAAATTTACACAAATTAATATGAAATTAAGAATGACATTTCATCTGTTCTACTGAATCTTGACTGCTCATGTCTGAAGACCCTCAGGCAACTTACCCGTTTGCCCTTATAATCTGCCACTGAATACAATGCCTGCACTTTGAAAGAAGGGTAAGGATAATGCAGTTTAGTTCATTTGGATCATGATGTTCGTGCACTTTTTGGAAAGATGGCAATGAAGTGAATGATGGTGAATGTGTACAGTACTTGTTTCATGGGTCATGAAGCCCTGACAGGAAATGGTTGATGTTCAACTTTATGTACAAGTGTACAGTGATCACATTCAGCCATACAAATTTAAGAAGGTGCAGTGAACAATGAATAACAAAAGGGCTCATGTAAAAAGGTCTTTGAAATTATAAGTTAAAACTTTTTCACTTATCTGTTAAAATTTAAATATATTTAAGATCAAATCAGTGAGTTAAGAACCTACCTTGACAGGATGAGGATCAACACCGTAGGTATCAAGCATGGATGCCTTCTTGAGGAAGCAAGTCTCTGCCATTAGAGGAGTATGGTTCTTCAAGGTTGGGTGTAACTCCATAATTTTCTCCTCAATTTTGTGTGTTTGCTTGAGTAGAATCTTGAAGTCACTAATATAATTTCCATAATGCTTTGATGGGTCATAATCCCCAATCTCAGCTGCAACAAGGGTATCAATCATATTAGATTTATCAAAGTTTTCTTCCATTTTTTTTTTTTACACACATGAATTTTACGGGTTAAGAGCTCATTTCAAAGCCTAGCCGTATATTAGGTACAATACCATTTTCCTGGGACACGACCCACAATGGCCAACTAACACCCAGGTACCTACTTACTGCTAGATGAACATGAGTAGCAGGTGTAAGGAAACATGCCCAACATTTCCACTCATGCCAGGGATCAAACCCTAGGACCCTCAGTATGTGAACCAAGTGTGCTACCAAACTGAGTCATGGGACACTTTTTACTGCTTAAAACTCAATATGAAACACTAAGTAAAGTTTCTTTAGTATGAATTATTCTACAAACAAAACATTGTTCTTGAAAACAAAATTACAACCATTAAACTAAAGTAGAAAAATATTAGAAATGGATGCAAAATGAAGTAAACAAGGTGTAAGAGAGCAAAAAAAAAAATTACTTAAGATACGATAAACCAGATGATATTACCACAGAAAATGGAGACATAACTGTATAAATCAAAGATCAATATGCAAATAAGATCAAGAAAAACAAAGAACTGAGAAAACAAGTTGAATAGATAAAAGGACAACTTTACTTAGCAAAAACATAAGATTATTAAAAGTCAACTGCAACTTATAAGAAATTGCCAACGTTAACAAACAGCTATTGTTGTAATCTTTGCTGAAAGAAAATACACATATCAAGAATCTAAGGGTACAGATAGGAAATATGACAGATCAGTGATATCACAAAATGCTTAAAGTAGCCAAGTTCAACAGGACACAGAAAAAAGGAGTAGCTTAAAACATAAACTCCCTCTAGACAAGGCACAACACTTTTATCATCCCCCACCAAACCCTCCATGAACAGAGAGGCAGGAAAGTGTGTGTTGCACTCATATGGATCACAAATCTCTAACAGTGAGTCTCAACAATCCCTTCAAAATCCCAGAGGTTTCCTCATGTGAAGCTAACAGAAATATTCAGTCTTCTCAGCACATGCAAAGTAAAGATACAGATGTAATACCTCTCCCAAGAGGTGTGTGCATTTCCCCAAATATGCTGGGATTGAGTTTCACCTCTTGTGCTTGCCTCTTAACTTCCGGCTGACTAATGTAACCAAGTTTTATCCTATTTACTTGTATATATGTATGTGTGCACGTGTTTAACAAATTCTATTTATAAAAAAGTATTTTCAGTAAGCAATTTCCAGCTCCTGACCCCTCTTCTCTTAACCATTAATTTACCATTAAGTGCAAAACCCTCATCTAACTACATTTTTTTAACAAAATCACACCAAACACATTGCAGTTTCTGTATTTTTTTTTTTTTTAACAAACCGGCCATATCCCACCGAGGCAAGGTGACCTAAAAAGAAAAACGAAAGTTTCTCTTTTTAAATTTAGTTATTTATACAAAGAAGGGGTTACTAGCCCCTTGCTCCCAACATTTTAGTCGCTTCTTACAACATGCATGACTTATGGAGGAAGAATTCTGTTCCATTTCCCCATGGAGATAAGAGGAAATAAACAAGAACGAGAACCAGTACGGAAATAAAAGAAACCCAGAGGGGTGTGTGTGTATATATATATGCTTGTCCATGTATGTGCAGTGTGACCTAAGTGTAAGCAGAAGTAGCAAGACATACCTGAAATCTTGCATGTTTACGAGACAGAAAAAAAGACACCAGCAATCCTACCATCATGTAAAACAATTACTGGTTTTTGTTTTACACTCACTTGGCAGGACAGTAGTACCTCCCTGGGTGGATGCTGTCTACCAACCTACTACCTAGGACTTTTTTTTTTTTTTCAACAAGTCGGCTGTTACGGCCCCCTGCCAAACTAGAGGTTAAATAGTTAACCTGCCGGCCGGCAGTACCACTGGGTACGTCATCAAACCCATTGTGGGGACTGCTGAGCCGGCCTTAGAGCAGTAAGTACCTGAACACCTCACGGTACGCATCTAAGCAGTAGGTACCTGAACACCTAATGGTACACATCTACTGGCCTTAGAAGCAGTAGGTACCTGAACACCTAATGGTACACATCTACTGGCAGTAGAGTATTCTACTGGCTTCTACTGATTTTAGAAGAAGCGCTCACCGCAGCTCACTGAGTCTGTTGGCCTCAGTTATTTGGCAGCCACATTCAGTGAGCTTGCAACATAGTGTGTGCTGCATCGGACCACCTTGCGGTGTGTCAACTGGTCTTGAAGGCGGTAGATAGTACTCACCAGACCATCTTACGGTGTACTTCTACCGGCCTTAGAGAGTATTTACAGGACTACCGGTGATGTCTGCGGACTCACCGCCTACGCTGGTCAACTGTGGGCCGGAGTCATCGGATGCTGTTTAGTGGGACATTACATGAAGAAAAGGTTGGAGTGTTACACTGAACTGGGCTAGGACTGTAGTGTGACACTTAAGCAAGTATGATGGAGTGGAACACTGAGATATGCTACAGAACCATAGTGAAACACTGAGAAGAAAAGGGTGTCGTGTGATACTGAAGATGGCCTGGTTGTAGTGTACATTGAATAGTGTCATGTGACTGGCCTCGACAAAGACGCTATGCGGGTAGTGTGATGCAGAGACAAGGGTGTCAAGTGTGACACGGTTGCGAAAGTGTGTGTATTACACGGAGAAAAGGGTGTCAAGTGACACGGTGGAGAAAGAGCGTCACAACTCGGATACGTGTCGTGAGAAACGCACTTGATTGTAATTTATTATTTTAAATGTTACTTAATTTATTATTTTAGCATAGATATATATATATGACACAGTAGTGCCAAGGAAGTTGTACCCTGTGTAGGGTCAGGAATTATTTATTATTTTGGTAAAATGCTATTTATAATTTATTATTGTAACATGTATATATATTTTAAATAACTCTAGACCAAAGATTGAATTTTATATTATATTAAAGAGTAATTTATTTTAATTTGTATTATGTATCCCGAACTCGTATATTACTAACACTAATGTGAAAGTCCCAAATGGTGTTTTTTTGTAATATGTGAGTGGCCTGTCCGGGAGGATAATGATTATCAAGAATGATTTCTGGGATGATCATATCCGGGATGACGGTTCGGGATGCATATTACATTGATCTTTGTGTGTCGGTCCTTTTGTGGTGGGGGTGTTACGGCCCCCTGCCAAAGTAGCGGTTAAATAGTTAACCTGCCGGCCGGCAGTACCACTGGGTACGTCATCAAACCCATTGTGGGGACTGCTGAGCCGGCCTTAGAGCATTAAGTACCTGAACACCTCACAGTACGCATCTAAACAGTAAGTACCTGAACACCTAATGGTACACATCTACTGGCCTTAGAAGCAGTAGGTACCTGAACACCTAATGGTACACATCTACTGGCAGTAGAGAGTATTCTACTGGCTTCTACTGAATTTAGAAGAAGCTGCCCACTGCAGCTCACTGAGTCTGTTGCCCAGATTATTGACGGCCACATTCAGAGCTTGCAAATAGTGTGTTCTGCACCGGACCACCTTCGGGTGTCACTGTACTCAAGGCGGTAGATAGTACTCACCAAGCCATCGTTGGCTGCAGAGGTCCCCAGGTTCAGCTCCCGGACGGCCCACTATTTTACAAAAAAAGTATTTTTGAGATGTAGTTTACCATTTGTAAAAAGAGTTCGGATACATAAATACACGTAAAATTAATGAATCTTTAATATATATAAAAATCAATCTTGGTCTAGAGGTATTTAAAATATACATGTATATACATGTTACAATAATAAATATAAATAGCATTTTACCAAAATAATAAATAATTCGTGACCCTACACAGGGTACAACTTCCTAGACACTACGTGTCTATATATATATAATATATATATATATATATATATATAATATATATAATTACTATATATATATATTAATTTTATTTTTTTTTTTTTTTTTTTTTTTTCAACAAGTCGGCCGTATAATAATTAATAATAATAAATTATGATCAACTCCGTGTCTCACACGACACTTAAATGACGCTCTGTGTCCCACACGACACTTATTCGAGTTGTGACGCTCCTTCTCCACCAGTGTCATTCAACACCTTTTCTCAGTGTAATAACGCTCCTTCACAACCATGTCACTTGACACCCTTTTCTCTGTGTCCCAAGACACTCCAGCTCTAATCCTACCCGGGCCGGGATTGAACCCGCGGTCAGAGAGTCTCAAAACTCCAGCCTGTCGCGGGTTCAATCCTGGCCGGGGTATGGTTTGTTTGCAATCGGGTCATTACGATTTCGTGAGTCACTCCGGCTCTCCGTGTCACACGACACCCTTTTCTCTGCATCATACACATTCTTTCTCAACTGTGTCACACTTGACACCCTTGTCTCTGCGACACACTCGCTCCGAAGTAGAGCCTTTCGAGAGGCCAGTCACATGATACTATTCAATGTACACTACAACTAGGCCATCTTCAGTGTCACACGACACCCTTTTCTTCTCAGTGTTCCACTACGGTCCTGTAGCATATCTCAGTGTTCCACTCCATCATACTTGCTTAAGTGTCACACTACGGTCCTAGCCCAGTTCAGTGTAACACTCCAACCTTTTCTTCATGTAATGTCCCACTAAACAGCATCCGATGACTCCGGCCCACAGTTGACCCACATAGATGTTGATCGCAGACATCACCGGTAGTCCTGTAAATACCTCTAAGGCCGATAGAAGTACCACCATAAGACTGTCTGGTGAGTACTATCTACAGCCTTCAAGACCAGTTGACACACCGAAGGTGGTCCGGTGCAGAACACACTATGTTGCAAGCTCACTGAATGCAGCCGTCAAATAACTGAGGCCAACAGACTCAGTGAGCTGCGGTGAGCGCTTCTTCTAAAATCAGTAGAAGCCAGTAGAATACTCTCTACTGCCAGTAGATGTGTACCATTAGGTGTTCAGGTACCTACTGCTTCTAAGGCCAGTAGATGTGTACCATTAGGTGTTCAGGTACCTACTGCTTAGATGCGTACCGTGAGGTGTTCAGGTACTTAATGCTCTAAGGCCGGCTCAGCAGTCCCCACAATGGGTTTGATGACGTACCCAGTGGTACTGCCGGCCGGCAGGTTAACTATTTAACCGCTAGTTTGGCAGGGGGCCGTAACATCGACCGTCTTCCACCGAGGCAGGGTGATCCAAAAAAGAAAGAAAATCCCCAAAAAGAAAATACTTTCATCATCATTCAACACTTTCACCACACTCACACATTATCACTGTTTTTGCAGAGGTGCTAAGAATACAACAGTTTAGAAGCATACACATATAAAGATACACAACATATCCCTCCAAACTGCCAATATCCCAAACCCCTTCTTTAAAGTGCAGGCATTGTACTTCCCATTTCCAGGACTCAAGTCCGACTATATGAAAATAACCGGTTTCCCTGAATCCCTTCACTAAATATTACCCTGCTCACACTCCAACAGATCGTCAGGTCCTAAGTACCATTCGTCTCCATTCACTCCTATCTAACATGCTCATGCACGCTTGCTGGAAGTCCAAGCCCCTTGTCCACAAAACCTCTTTTACCCCCTCTCTCCAACCCTTTTGAGGACGACCCCTACCCCGCCTTCCTTCCCCTATAGATTTATATGCTTTCCATGTCATTCTACTTTGATCCATTCTCTCTAAATGACCAAACCACCTCAACAACCCCTCTTCTGCCCTCTGACTAATACTTTTATTAACTCCACACCTTTTCCTAATTTCCACACTCCGAATTTTCTGCATAATATTTACACCACACACTGCCCTTAAACAGGACATCTCCACTGCCTCCAACTGTCTCCTCGCTGCTGCATTTACCACCCAAGCTTCACACCCATATAAGAGTGTTGGTACTACTATACTTTCATACATTCCCTTCTTTGCCTCCATAAATAACGTTTTTTGACTCCACATATACCTCAATGCACCACTCACCTTTTTTCCCTCATCAATTCTATGATTAACCTCATCCTTCATAAATCCATCCGCTGACACGTCAACTCCCAAGTATCTGAAAACATTTACTTCTTCCATACTCCTCCTCCCCAATTTGATATCCAATTTTTCTTTATCTAAATCATTTGATACCCTCATCACCTTACTCTTTTCTATGTTCACTTTCAACTTTCTACCTTTACACACATTCCCAAACTCATCCACTAACCTTTGCAATTTTTCTTTAGAATCTCCCATAAGCACAGTATCATCAGCAAAAAGTAACTGTGTCAATTCCCATTTTGAATTTGATTCCCCAAAATTTAATCCCACCCCTCTCCCGAACACCCTAGCATTTACTTCCTTTACAACCCCATCTATAAATATATTAAACAACCATGGTGACATTACACATCCCTGTCTAAGACCTAGTTTTACCAGGAAGTAGTCTCCCTCTCTTCTACACACCCTAACCTGAGCCTCACTATCCTCATAAAAACTCTTTACAGCATTTAATAACTTACCACCTATTCCATATACTTGCAACATCTGCCACATTGCTCCTCTATCCACTCTATCATATGCCTTTTCTAAATCCATAAATGCAATAAAAGCTTCCCTACCTTTATCTAAATACTGTTCACACATATGCTTCAATGTAAACACTTGATCTACACATCCCCTACCCACTCTGAAACCTCCTTGCTCATCCACAATCCAACATTCTGTCTTACCTCTAATTCTTTCAATTATAACCCTACCGTGCACTTTTCCTGGTATACTCAGTAAACTTATTCCTCTATAATTTTTACAGTCTCTTTTGTCCCCTTTCCCTTTATATAAAGGGACTATACATGCTCTCTGCCAATCCCTAGGTACCTTCCCCTCTTTCATACATTTATTAAACAAAAGTACCAACCACTCCAACACTATATCCCCCCCCCTGCTTTTAACATTTCTGTCATGATCCCATCAGTTCCAGTTGCTTTACCCCCTTTCATTCTACGTAATGCCTCACGTACCTCCCCCACACTTATATTCTGCTCTTCTTCACTCCTAAAAGATGGTATACCTCCCTGACCAGTGCATGAAATTACTGCCTCTCTTTCTTCCTTAACATTTAAAAGTTCCTCAAAATATTCTCGCCATCTACCTAATACCTCCATCTCCCCATCTACTAACTCCCCTACTCTGTTTTTAACTGACAAATCCATACGTTCCCTAGGCTTTCTTAACTTGTTTAACTCACTTTATATTATATTTATATTATTTTTGACTTAGTTATATTGTTAGGTAGGATGTAACATTCATATATTATTATTATATGCTCATAGTTCAAGTCTTGATTGTCTAACTACTGTAATTATTGCTCATGGCTCGTTACTCTGCCAGCTTCTCGGTGTTGCTGGGCAGCAACTGTCCACAGAGCAATCACGTGATCGAGGTGTGAACACCCCCCCCTCGCCTGGAGTAGTCAGTCTGGGCTAGACTCTCTTAGTGGTTGGACGTATTCCTGACAAGATGCGCCTAACTCTCCCTTATTGGCCCTTGTTGGAATATTGTCTCTGTCACTTTCTTGTTGTTGGTTCTGTAGAACTGTTCACAGAACATTGTCTAGACTTAGTGATTTTAAACGTTGTACTGAGGTTGTGTGTCGCATAGACACTCTGAGAGACTCAGGTCCTGAGCTGTAGCTTCTGACCTAATTTGTACTGGTATCTGTGTACTGTCACAGTCGGGGATTTTCTTATGCTGAACTTAGATTCAGTAGTATGGGAGTTTTGTGACTTTTGTGGAGGATCCGTTGATGGTCCCTACTTAGTGTCGTTATATTATCTCCTTGTTCCTGATTCTGTGTCGCAGTTGCTTGTTATATTGCTATTGGGCTTAGCAGTCGTTTTATTGTTCAAGCAAGCTGTTCTGATTGCCAGGTGGTCAAGAAGTTAGTTAATGTGAGGACTTAGTCACTAGTTAAGTCTAGTTGAGTTCTGAGACATAGCGAAGTACTTAGAGCACTTACACACATACACACAAACTTACTTGTACATACGTATTTGTAATATCTTATTAAATGTTAATGTACCAGACGGTACTTAAGACGTATAAATGTGATATGTGCCTTCAGCACAATACTACTGTACACGAGAGAAGTGTAGGAACTTGTATCCTATATTATATTCAATTGATTAATTTAATTTGATTTGATCTTATACATCTAGACATTATTATTAATAAACTTAATAAATTTTAATTTCTCTAGTTAGTACCCTACCAGTTGTAATCCTGAAGCACTAATAATTAATATTGAATTCTAATGGATAATTGGACCAGGATACTGACTACTTGTTACGAAAACCCAGTAACAGGCTGAATGCTAGAATGGCAGTCCTTTCTAGTATTCACTGGAGATCTCTAAGCTTATTAGAAATTGCATTTTTTGTAACAGGTATCATCTGGTCCATGACTTTGTTTCCAGTTTTTCTCATTTTACTGGAAAGTGGGAACACTGCAATCCATATGTAGAAAATAATCATGAATAAAATAGGCTACTTTGAAACTGATTAACACAATTTACTACAGAAAATAAAGTGCTACAAATGCTTAACAATTTTAGTTTTTTTCCTAACCTTGAACAATATATGAAGCAAGCATAGCTGCATCTGCCTGTGAACAGTAGAGTCTTCCATGCAAAAGATCTCGCCGAAGCTGAAGAAAGAGCTGATATCGAGTTATCTCTTCCTGCAGTCTCAGAGGATCCGCAGGATAGAACTTGACTCGGAAGCAAAATAGGATCGGCGATAGATCTGCACAAAAAATAATCTTCCCTTACAATTTTGAAGATAAAAATATTAATTAGCAGTATTGAACCAAAAAGTTTCTCTTGAAAAAGATGCATGAATTAAAGAAAACAAAGTGCAAGCATGGCAAACTGGGTTTTACTTCAGAGCCACATTGAGATTATGGGCAAAGAGGGACAAATGGGAACAAACCTTAGGCAACCGCTATAAGAGAATATCTAACACCCACTAGAAACATCCCCTTGCATGGTGATACTTAATGAGACAGATGTAAGATGCTTTCTCAATGTGAATGCAGTGGTGGTTGTAGAAGGAAAATTGTCATGGGGTTCTATACTGTAATGGGTCTCAAAATATTGCAAATATTTTGTTGGGTAAAGAGGGTAATATTAATTTTCAACTCCTACCGCACAAAAGAAAAGCATGAAAAATATAGTATAAATATTTGGCCTCCGTTAAAGGCAATACTTTTCATTTACTTCTTAATTAGGAAAAAATATTACACTATGGGTATACACAGCGATAGAATTCTTGACCTCATACTACCATTGTCTACAGTGAATAGCAAGAGAAAGCACAACACCTAACCACACAAGTGTAAGGTGAGCACCTTTCATATAATTACTGTACTGTATCTTTAATTATTCACTACTGGTAATAATTTCAGCACAACCTCAACATCACTACAAATTTCTCAAGTACACAATACACATTTAGAACTAGGATATTAAATGTGAAACATAGTTATTTTATTCATAGATAATATGTTTGGAATTTCAACGTCAAAAGAAAATATTGACAAGGACCAATTTCAACCAAACATAAAAAATCTATGTAAGAGATTTAGATGAGAGTGTCCCTTAAAGAAGGTTCCTAAATGCTGGTGTGGGGCACTTGATTTAAGGAGATGATCCTGTGCTCCCCTTTCTTGGATCAAACTTGAATGCCTCCCATTCTTTCAGGTACAGTGGACTCTCGGTAATCGGCCGTTCTGGATATTGGCCAATTCGGTTTTCGCCCACTTTTTTGGCCAAAATTTTATCTCAGTTATTGCCCGTTATTTCGGTTATTGGCCGGATTGTATGCGTCCACCCGCTGCTCCGCCGCATTCATGAGTAGTCTGACTGTGTCTCTGGGTGAGTGAGGAAGCCTCCGTGCATTCTTCCAAACAGTTCACTATAATCCATTGTTTTTTGTGGTTATTGATTGAGTGCAACTGCGAAATAAGCAACCATGGGCCTAGTAAAGTACCTTTGGTAAAGAAAGTGAGAAACACAATGGAGTTCAAGGCAGGCAGCCACAGAGGCAAGGAGTGTAGCAGGCATGCAGGGAGTGTAGCAGGAAGGCAGGGAGTGTAGCAGGCATGTAGGGAGTGTAGCAGGAAGGGAGTGTAGCAGGAAGGCAGGGAGTGTAGCAGGAAGGCAGGAGGTGTAGCAGGAAGGCAGGGGATGTAGCAGGAAGGCAGGGGATGTAGCAGGAAGGCAGGGAGTGTATTATTATAATCAAAAAGAAGCACTAAGCCACAAGGGCTATACAGCAGCAGGGAGTGTAGCAGGAAGGCAGGGTGTGTTGCAGGAAGGTAGGGAGTGTAGCAGGCATGCAGGGAGTGTAGCAGGAAGGCAGGGAGTGAGGCAGGAAGGCAGGGAGTGAGGCAGGAAGGCAGGGAGTGTAGAGGAAGGCAGGGAGTGTAGCAGGAAGGCAGGGAGTGTAGCAGGAAGGCAGGGAGTGTAGCAGGAAGGCAGGGAGTGTAGCAGGAAGGCAGGGAGTGTAGCAGGAAGGCAGGGAGTGTAGCAGGCATGCAGGGAGTGAGGCAGGAAGGCAGGGAGTGTAGCAATAAGGCAGGGAGTGTAGCAGGTATGCAGGGAGTGTAGCAGGAAGGCAGGGAGTATAGCAGGCATGCAGGGAGTGTAGCAGGCATGCAGGGAGTGTGGCAGGAAGACAGGGAGTGTAGCAGGCATGCAGGGAGTGTAGCAGGCATGCAGGGAGTGTAGCAGGAAGGCAGGGAGTGTAGCAGGCAGGCAGGGAGTGGATAGTTTTTTTTGTGTGACAGGAGTGCAGTGACTCTCAAGCTGGTCCTAGTGGCAGTAAAAGACAAAGAAGGGAACTAACCCCTCCTTGCCTTCTTCCATATGCCAACAAGAGTCTTTAATAAAGGTATGTAATGTTCATTTATTAGTAAAATTAGTAATTTTTATGGGAAATATTATTTCGGTTTTCAGCCGTTTCAGTTTTAGGCCAACCTTCTGGAACGGATTACAGCTGATAACAGAGGGTCCACTGTACTATATGACTCCTGAGAATTTAGTGCTTCCCCGTGAATGCAATAATAAATATAAATTAGATAGCCAACCAATTAAGGACTCTAATTCCATTAAAAATCATAAGTTACATTCCAATAAATAAACCACTAAGTTTTATTTATCAATTATTTGGTATTATTTCAAGTTATGATTTTTTCTGTCTTTGTAAAAGAATTAGATTTGCAGGTAATCACAACCTGTTGGTTATAACTTGTGAAACTTTCAGAAAGTAATGTTTTTTTAACACAGCAGTAAGGTAATCCAAAAGAAGAAACATTTTCACCATCATTCACTCTTATCATTGTCCTGCCAAAGGAATGCCAATACTACAGTTCCGATGCCTCCTCCAAATTGCAAATATCCCCACCCCTCCTTCAGAGTGTAAGCACTGAACTTCCCACCTCCAGGACTCAAGTCCAGCTGATTAGCTAACCCTGAATCCCTTTACAAAATGTTACCTAGTTCATACTCTAACAGCCTGTCAAGCCCTAAAAACTATTTGCCTCCACTCACTCCTATCTAACACACTCATATAGTAATATTACATGTCTTATGTGCCATAAATATTAATATACTGCACTTCATGCTTAGTAAATATTACAAACCTAACTCTTAATGTACAGCATTACTGTACTGTAAGATGCTCTCATTGTTGCTTCACGGCCAGGATAAAATGAAAGTCATGTACTGTATCAGAAATGCCAAACGTGCCAATCTGTTTATAAGTCATCAAATTCAAATCTCTTGAGAATCTCAATGACCCTCATACCCAAGGCCCAAAGAGCACTAAAGCCACCTCTGGTGATGTGAAGTGCAGCAGTGAAGTTTAAATGTACAATACCAGATAAATATTTATGACAAAAACCAAAGAAATCAGAATGCATTACTTTGGTCAATTAGAAATTAAAAGATAGGGACCAAGAGCAGGAAATGAATCCTTGTAATCACAGGTAGGTGAATACAGGAAACAATGCACAATGTCTTAACACAAGGGTTTCTTAGCCTTAAAGGAATATGAAGTACAGTATGATACTTACTCTTAATCTGTCTTAAGATGTTCTTTGTCCCATCTAGCCAGTGCTGAAATAAATAAAACTTTATTATATACATGAAAAAGAAGGATTAACTACTTACCAACTATGTATTCTTCATTTATCTTTAATTCAAAAAGATCAAGCAGAGTATGTATTATATATTTTGGGGGGTAATCCATAATGAATGCACAATTATGCACACTACACATTATTTGCATTTACAGTAACTTATTTGTTATTAGGGAATACAGAAGAACATTGAATCAATTTGAAATAATAAGTTATAGTTTTAAAATTGTACCATTTGTTCATTAGTTACCTTTGTCACTGTATATAGGTTTGTGGTTAACTACATAAGAAATCCTACTTAATAGTATTTGGATTAATTTGCCTGAAATGCTTTGCACACTTGTTGCTTCCTTTTGTGCCTACCAGTGTTTTATTACTTGCAAACTACATTACTTTTGTACCACATAAAGAAATAAAAACTTGAAAGTTGGAGTCCTGTTGTACTGTATAAAAATTAGTAACCAGGTAATGACTCTATGCAAAAACATATTATAATGTATTACACAAAGCAGTACTTACTCTCTGCTTATTCTGGTCAACATAACGAAGGCCAAAGTAATCAGTTTCTATAAGGTTAATCTTGTTGTACACAAAGTCAAGAAGCACTTTCCCCTTGTGGTAACTCTGAAATAAAACTGTGCTTAGGTCTAATAAAATTTCAAGTCATCAGTACCAGTAGATTAATAAAGAAGTTTCCTGTATTGGTAAATTAATCATATGCTATGAAACTAATATACTCACTGCACTCTAACAAAAAAAAAAAAAAAGCATTTACAAGATTTTACATCAATTTCAGTGCATTATATATCATAACATGGAAATTTCCCCTTCCAACAGGTAAAACTTATCTAAGAGACTCAATCTATAAATTTAAAAACGAGTAAATATCTAAACAAAACATCATTTGGCTACAGATCTGAAGCATCCTTGAAAACTTCAATGCATAATTTTTCTCTCTCAAAAACTGTATGCAGGACAGAAAAAAATGCTATTAACAGACAAGAAATTATTCTGTCACATGTCTTTAAACTCCACATAGAAGCTATTCTTCCACGCATTACAAGTCATATAATTTTAAATGCAGCAGATCCTATAGCTAGCAACATCAATTTCTGGCATATGGTTGATCCTATGAACCTATAGCTAGCAACAATAATGTCTGGCCAACAGTTTATGTATAAAGTACATAGGTAATCAAATGGAAATTTACAAAGAATTACTCCTTTCATCTATGTAAACAAATTGTACTTTAATGATTCACTATTATAGCATGAAAGCCTTTCATTTAATGAAAGATGACACATCACCAAATATATTCATAAGGGAATAAAAATGTAATAAATCTTATGAATAATTGTAGCAATGCAACGTTCATGTATATTTTATGTATAAAATTCCCATTAAACTACACGAAGATTTATTTAAAACTGAAAGGGTGTTCCATGGCCTAGTAGGCAATGCTCTCGCCTCACACATTGAGTGTCCATGGTTCAATCCCCAGCCAGGTAGAAACATTGGATGTGTTCCTTACACCTGCTGTCCCTGTTCACCTAGCAAACAAGTAGGTACCTGGGTGTTAGGCAACTGGTGTGGGTTGCATCCTGAGGGACAAGATTGAAGAACACCAATAGAAATTAGACAGACAGTCCTCAATGATGCACTGACTTTCTTGGGTTATCCAGGGTTAAAAATATGAACAAAATCTTATCTTATCCTACACAAAATGCTAGACTTTAACTAGAATATGCTATGCAAAAAAGGTATACAATACCACCAAGATGAAAGTTAAAACACATGTGCAACATTGGGTTATCTTTATTGTAGACGTTTCGCCATCCAGTGGCTTTATCAATACAGATTCTAGGACATAAATAGAAGACAGTAGAACTGTATATACAAAAGATGAGGTAATCAGTCCCTCAGCCTTGGTGTTGGTGTTGAGAGCACCGTGGTAATAAAGATTCTGGAGCAAAGGCAAGGAGACTGGCGTTTATATAGGCGTCAGTGGATAGGGACATGTAGCAGACGAGGGCATAGTCACCGGTAGGCGGGATTTCCCAGTGGAAGTAGGTCCTACCCAAAGGGATGGGTTAGTTGTAGTAGCCATGAAGAGGGTCTTGTAGATGTCCTCTGAACCAAGATTCCATGATGCTGCAGTGACTGACAAGTTGTGCAAAAAAGGTATACAATACTGACAAGATGAAAGTCAAGACACATGTGCAACTTCTGGTTAACCAAATGTAGTGTCTTAACTTTCACCTTGTCAGTATTGTATCTGGTTAACCAGATGCTGCACATGTGTGTACTGTGTCAAAAGCTTTTCTTAGGTCAATAAAAAGTCCTAATGGATATTCCTTATTTTCCATTGCTGTGTAAAGCAGATCTAGCATTTTTACAAATCGCATCGTTTGTGCTTTTATTTTTTCTGAAGCCCAATTGGTAAGGGGTTGAGTATGCTTTGTACTGTTATAAACGAGTATAATCTCCTGTGCATGAGTTTCTCGAAGATTTTGGATAGCAATGGCAAGTGTGATATTGGCCTATAGTTGTTTACTTCTGTGGGGTCACCACCTTTGTGTACTGGTGTAACCCTTGCTGTCTTGAGTAGTGTCGGGAAAGTGCTAGTTTCTAGTGACTTGTTAAAATGTAATGAAATAGCACACGAAAGGACATGGGCCGCTCGTTTGTACAATAATGGTGGGACGTGAGACAGATTCCTTGAATTATTTTTAAGTGACTTAATAACCGTGGTGACTTCAGTGGGCTCAGTAGGTGCAAGATAGTAGCAGTTTGGGAAATTCCCATCTAAGTAATGACTTGCACGGGCATTAGTACCTGGGATTTTACTGGCAAGATTAGATCCTATGGTTGAGAAGAAGTGGTGTTTCGTTCGGTTTAGTTAGAACAACATCCTTAGTTTTTTCAGTTTGTGGGTTCCCAGAATCTGAGTGTTTTCCAGGTCTTTTTTATATCTCCTCTTGCTTCAGTGAATCTGCTGTAGTAGTACAATTGTTTGGCTTTTTTTATTAGTTTAGTGAGAACTGATGAATAGTATTTAAAAATATCTTTGTGTATTAAGCTCTGTCTATATTGCTTTTCATATTGGTGTTTCTTATCAATGGATTTCAGAATGTTGCTGGTTAGCCATGGGCAACGAGCCGTTTATTCGTGATGTTTCACTTTTATAGGACAATGTTTGTTGTATAGTCTAAGTAATTTATTCAGAAATATGTCTACAATCGTCACTATCATTGGTCTTGGAGAATTCTGTAGGCCAGTCAACCATCTCTAGCTCTCCTGTGAAATTACTTATTGAGGCCTCGTCATATTGTAATCACCTTTGCATTTTACTGATGAAGCCTGCACACAGCAAGCTTGGGAAATCAAATGACCAGTAAAACATTAACCTTTACCATAATAATTGCTTGCAATAATATCAAATGTTATTAATCTTAAAACATTTACTCTGGTTAAGTACGCCAATACGCATTACATATTTTTAAATAATTTCAGTGCCAAATAGTTAAATGACAATCAACAGGAAATTTAAGGGAAGCTAGTAAATGTGTTAGATGTTATAAAAGGAATATTTGATAGTACTAAGAACACTTGTAAATTGACATATGAAGACCCATGCCTGCAGGAGCATCAGGCCACACCAACCTACCTGGAACTCGCACTCTAACACCTCGTTGTCATCGAGAAGGCGTATTGTACACTTATAGTCTATGCCATAGTCCTTCCTGTTGCCTAACTTAAGCATATTTAAAGAGGGGAGAGTGAAGGGAGACAAGTAACCCTCACGTCATGGCAGCTCACTCAGGTTCCCCTCACAACCAGCAGACCACTCACAACCTCATTTACATTCCCTTTATATCACGTTATAAAAATTATACTTACCTTCTAATGACTGTAAACTATTTCCCATCAGATAACAATGGCTAATTAAAACAGGCTTCCTCTCTACTATGAATATATTAAGAAAAGTTCGTATTTAAAAGTGTTTATTATCTGGTGTAAACTCAGAGCTAAACAATAACAATTACCCTGATATTTATAAGTAGAATTTTACGTATTTCTTCCTTAATAAAGACGACCGACCATTTAATTATTTTATTTGTATTTTTGTGGTAAGTTTTCACGAGAGAATGTGAGTTGAGGAGTGAGTTAAGAGGTTAAGAGTTAATGGCGGCGCCCACACAGTGATCACCTGACACTCCCGTCCATCAACAACTTTTATTATTAAATTACATCGCATCTCGAAAGTCACTATGAGCAAAATTTTGAAAGTTGCTTGGTAATCATGTGTAGTTTGTGATGGATATATATATGTAGGATAATAACTTCTAACTCGTTAGCTGGACAATGTTGAGTGAGCAACTTAGCCGGGTTATACTTTAAATTGAATATTTTATGCTGTATATAATCATTATAGATACTCAACAGTGGCATTTAATGATAACGAAAAAGCCGTCATTGTAATTCAGTTGATAAACTGTGAAAGATTCACCAATGGCAGATTTAGTATACATGTACAATATTTTTATTTTTCAACACATATTATAATTAGTCAGTTGAAAATAATATAATAATCTTTATTTCTATAAGTACATGTACAAACTATATAGAAAGCCCCTGTTTATGCAGAGCATTTCAGACAAATTAGTTTAATTTTGTCCCCCAGGATGCGACCCACACCAGTCAACTAACACCCAGGTACCTACTTACTGCTAGGTGAACAGTGACAGCAGGTGTCTTAAGGGTACACCTAATGTTTCCACCCGTACCAAGACTCAAACCACGGACCTCAGTGTGTTAGCTGAGTGCACTACTAACTCAGCTATGGGACACCATAATATGCACAGCATTGAACAACAAACTTTATTTCTTTTTGCAGTATTACAAAATGTAGCTTACGTGTAATAAAAAATTGTTAAGTACAAAATAAAGCTACTAGCATGTAGTGTATTTCAAGCATTAGGGCCCATCATTAATTTTCAGAGATCAAGTTTGTAAAGCAGCTATATGATAGTTAATTCCTGTAATTCTGGATTGTAATTTTAAGTTTGGAAGTAAGTCACTTTGTCTGACTTCTTTTTTGGGCTATCCTAGGTAATTTACACATGATAATATACATTTGGAAAATCTTAAGAGGGCCTAGTCCCAAATCTACACACACAAATCACTCTTTAAAGAAGCAAAAGACTTGGCAGGCAGTGCAGCATCCCCCTCCCTCAGTAAAAAGCATTGGTGCCATGAGTATACTAAGAAACAATGTAATAATTGTCTGGAGCCCAGGACTGTCAAGACTGTTCAACTGCCTCTCAGCATACATAAGGGGGATTACCAGTAGACCCCTTGCTGTCTTCAAGAGGGAGCTGGACAGGCACCTAAAGTAACTGGCACTGAGTGAAAATTAAATCTAGAGCAACTATGTAAGCTCAAGATACACTAAAAGTATTGATGATTTCTTAAATACCGTGGCTTGCTTGGCAATGCTCTTGCCTCACACACTGAGTGTCCGTGGTTCGATCCCCAACACAGGTGGAAATGCTAGGCGTGCTTCCTTACACCTCTTGTCCCTGTTCACCTAGCAGTAAGTAGGTACGTACCTGAGTGTTAGTCAGCTAGTGTGGGTCGCATCCTGGGGGACAAGATTGATGGACTCCAACAGAAATAAGACAGACAGTCCTCAATTATGCACTGACTTTCTTGGATTATCCTGGATGGCTAACCCTCTGGGTTAAAAAAATCCATACAAATCTTATCTTATTTTTTTCAGGTTTGTCACAAAGGTTGGCATTGGTGGTGGTATAGTTTATGTGACAGTGGATCAAGGAATATGGGGTAACAGTCACCAGGCTGCTGCTGCATATGACAGGGTGTACGACATCATGCCAGGAACCAAGAGTGTATCCGAAAAGGTAGCCCACGTTTCTTTGCAAAATATGTATAACTATTATTTTTATATGCATATCCAGAGAAAATAATTTAACCCATAGTGGTCATACAGTCCCTGAATTTGAATGACCAGTCTACTTATTTCATTACCTAAATTTTTTGTAAGCCTCATCACCTTGCTCTTTCTTATGTTCACTTTTAATTTTTCTTCTCTTACATACCCTACCAAAGTCGTCTACTAACCTCTGCAACATCTCTTCAGAATCTCCCAAAAGTAGTGCCATCAGCAAAAAGCAAATGTGATAATTCCTACTTTGTGTTTGATATTTTATCTTATTATCCCACACCTCTTGCCTGCACCCAAGCATTCTTAATTGCTTTCAGTAACCTACCACCTATTCCATACACTTGTAATATCTGCCACATTGCTCCCCTATCCACCCTATCATATACCTTTTCCAAATCCATAAATGCAACAAAACCCTCTTTACCCTTATCTAAATACTGTTCACTTATGTGCTTCACTGTAAACACTTGTTCTACACATCCCCTACCCTTCCTAAAGCCTCCTTGTTCATCTCTGATCCTGCTCTCTGTCTTACTCTTAATTCTTTCAGTTATAAGTCTACCATACACCTTACCAGATATTATATTCATGGGGGAACTGCTAAACCCATGGGGTCATACAGCACCTGGGAATAAGGTATTCAGGTTTCATCCAAGGAAGGGGATGACAGCTCCAATTCCTTGAATCTTAAGCCCTTGAATCAAATTTATTCATACCCTTGATATGTAAATTAACATTTACTGTATTTAAAAGAGAATGTAGAGTATCTTGTATGTTTAATGTGAATACTGTTTCAAAATATGCGCAGTGCAGTACAGTACAGTAGTCATATTCTGGCAGTATGTAATTTCTGAAGCCATCTTTCATCTTTGATAATTATCTTTCATTGGGTTCATCAGTACATATCTCAAGAAAAAATTAGAGCATTCATATCCATGCAGATTTATTATTACATTTTTTTTTTTTGGGGGGGGGAGAGATCACTAAACCCTTTTGGACCATGGGAGTTAACCCTTTCAGGGTCCATGCCATAGATCTACGGCTTTACGTTCAGGGTCCAAACCGTAGATCTACGCCATGAGCTCGGCTCACTCTGATAAGCTGTGAGCAGTAAATACATCTATGTGATATGTGTGCACCACATAAAACAAATCCTGCATCACACAGTGCATAATGAGAAAAAAAAACTGAAACCGTAATTTTCGATTAAAACAGTGGCTTTGCAGTGTTTTTTCGTATGTTTTTTATAGTTGTATTTGCAATTTCTTGGTCTCATTTGATAGAATGGAAGATATACTATAGAAATAGAGATGATTTTGATTGGTTTTAGTACTGGAAATGTCTTGAAACTGAGCTCAAAGTAGCAGAAATGTTAAATTTTTGCCGATGTTCAAGAGTAAACAAATGACCTCACAAGTCTAATACACGCCAGCTGGTGGGTCTAATATACATTCACAAATGTGGTGATATTATTTATACAATTATTACAGTATTGCATTACAGTAAATCTTCTATTTTTTGGGTTGAATAAAAATTCATTATGTGAATAAAAAATCAAAATGGAATTCATTTGTAAAGCCTGAAAACGCAACTAATGAACAGAGGAAATGTTAGTTTAGTGCCAGGAATGCCTGCATTGTTTATTCTGGACCTTGTTTTGAAATTGGAATATTTTGAACTTTGTGTTAAATTAGCCAAATTACCAATATCCGTTCACTTTATTTTGTAGTTGAAACAGTTGACTGGGCGATTTCTTGTGCTCAATCGATAGAATAGAAGTAATACTAGTGAAATAGATAAGAATTTGGTTGATTGGAATACTGTAATTGGCCTAAAATGGGAGTCAAAGTCAGCAAAATTGCCGATACGTAAATATCGCTTACACATCAAAATTCGCGAGAGCATAATTTCGTCAATTTTCCATCAAATTTCGTACTTTTTGTTTTATTACCTTCAGAAAAAGATTCTCTACCATTTCATAAGAAAAAATAACAAAATTATTTTTTGAAAATTCTTGGACCCTGGTGCACACTTTGAAATTTGGCCTCTGGACCCTGAATGGGTTAATCTTTGGGGGTGTATGGGTCATAAAGTTTCTGAGCCCATAAGTCACACAGCACCTTATTCGGTGAAGAATCTCATGTACAAGAGGTTCCCTTTTGTATGGCTCTTAGGTTCCCAACCCCATACAGTAAGCGAAAATCGCCGGCAGGTGGAAAAGAGTGGGTTTTTTAATTATCAGATATGCCTAAAATGCTGGACAACATGTTTAAACTATCTTATATTTATAAGTGCTCAATACAGCTAGGTATAAAATAACAGATAAAAAAGTAAAATAAATACACAGTATAAATCTAGAGTGGAGGGAAGGCAGGGTAGGGGTCGGCCTAGGAAAGGTTGGAGGGAGGGAGTAAAGGAGGTTTCATGTGCAAGGAGCTTGGACTTCCAGCAAGCATGTGTGAGCGTGTTAGATAGGAACGAATGGAGACACATGGTTTTTAGGACTAGACATGCTGTTGGAGTGTGAGCAAGGTAACATTTATGAAGGGATTCAGGGAAACTGGCAGGCTAGACTTGAGTCCTGGAGATGGGAAGGTACAGTGCCTGCACTCTGAAGGAGGGGTGTTAATGTTGCAGATTTATAACTGTAGTGTAAGCACCCCTCTGGCAAGACAGTGATGAAGTGAATGATGAAAGTTTTTCTTTTTGAGCCACCTTGCCTTGGTGAGAAACGGCCAATGTGTTAAAAAAAAAAAAAGTAATAATACACAGTACATATAATACTTACTGCATTTTGTATTGGATTGAAATCCAAGAATTGTAATAACCAATCATAATTATATCCATTAAAAAGCATGAAACCAAAATGGGTCTCTGCATCAAAAGTGGTGGCTAATCAAGAATGTGGATTCATGCTTCCTTCACATTTTTATTGTAGACTTTTTACCTGTTACCAGTTATTAGCTAATAATTATGTAATATGCTAAAATTAGTGGTTTTTTAACTTTTAAAAAAAAGTTATATTTTGAATATGCACATTACTACTATAGTTCATTTTTTCTTTTATGTACAGTATTTACACTTACCGAAGAAAGAAGACGTTAATGTTAACTTCCGAAGTTACTGGAATAGCGGAGTCTTTTATACATTTGACTTTATTGCCAATATCCCTACAAAGGTAATTGGCATTAAAGATGCCATTTTGGATTTTGCATCCTCTCCACCAGTCTCTGCCAAACAAAGTGAAAACCCACACAAAACAGAGGAAACAGTATTGGAAGAGAAGCAGCCAAATAAAAATCCACCAGAACTTGATGTAACATCTGCTGTTCCACAAGAAACTTTAGATTCAATGCCACCAGAAGTTCCTCCACAAACAAATGAAAAATAAATAGTGTATATTTTATAATTTTCTTTCATGAATATTATTGGCTATAATTTATATCTACTTTAAACATTGATTTTGTATATAGTTCTCAATAAATTTGTTAACTCTATTTATCTATTATTCTTTTTCACAGTTCTACATGTATGAATTATTGTAATTATATTTATGGGAAGCACTAAACCCATAAGGGTCATGTAGTACCTTGGGAGTGAGAGGAAATCAAGCTTGATCCAAAGGGGAGGCTGGCTCAAATTCCTTGTATCAGGAACCCTTCACCACCAACAAAGTAGTCTTTATATGTTAATCTTTCAGTCAAGTTGTATTATTTTTTAAATAGTCATATACTTCAAGTAATACACCTGACTTTTTGATTTATGTAGACAGTTCTTCAGTTTACTTTCCCTAATTAAATTTAGCAAAGTCTAGTGCATGAATAATTTATCCATTTTTATTTTATGGCTTTAATTGCTGAATGACCTACATGTGTTTTAACAGTTTTGATTATAATATATACAATGCAATTTTCATCATATTAAATCAGCTGCATAAGTATGACTCAAGTAATATTGTATTGACATTTACATATATGTAATACTGTCATTGATATTAAGGTATTAGTGGAATAAACACACTGCATGACCCATACAGATAGCACATTTTGAAAACAATATAATAAAAAATGGAATAAACACACTTGGAATATGAAAGAATAAAATATTATGTAGTACATTCAAAGACATTAAAACCATAATTGTAAATTAAACCTTTCATTGTCATGACTTGTAAAATTAAAACTGCTCCAATTTAAAAAAAATTTCTTCTGAAATGGTAGAGAATCTTTTTCTGAGGGTAATGACATCAAAAAGAAATTATGCAGGCACAAAGTTAACAGTCTGGGCATAATCTTGCCAACTCTGATCCTTACTTTCAGCTATTTACATTGCTCAGTAGTAGGCATTCCAGCCACTGAAGAAGTCTATCCTTTTATTTATTTATTTATTAATTATTTGAACATGATACATGAAGTACAAAGTTATTACAGTGCAACATGCCAAAGCCCCTTGTATGCAGATCATTATGGGCAGGCTTAAAATTAACTTAAGATTAACTAAGCAATGATATATTCTGTGGTAAAAACATTATTGTAAACAGATAACAATTTAACACAAATGAGTATTACAAAGACAGGTCATATGGTCATTTACTGTGTTGCTGAGCATTCAGTAGAATGGAGTATCCTGTTAGGTAATGTAATTAAAAAATAAAGTTTAATTGGGCCACAGGTTAGACAATTATGAGATACAATAATGAGAAACATTTACGAGATACAATTTATAAGATACAATTATTCAGTATTTATTTAGTTGTGGGTGATTAAGTGATTTTTGAGAAGAGACTTGAATTTATAAACAGTGTTTCTTTTATATTCACAGGTAATGAATTCCAGATTTTAGGGCCTTTTATGTGCATTGAGTTTTTGCATAGCGTGAGATGGACTCGAGGAACATCAAGGAGTGATCTGTGCCTTGTGTTATGGTCGTGTGTTCTGTTGAGGTTGGTAAGGAGACATTTGAGGGGAGGGTTTATATCAGAATTAAGTGTTCTATGAATGTAGTAGGTGCAGTAATAAGTATGGATGTTTTGAATGGTGAGTAGGTTTAGAGTTTTGAATATTGATGGAGTGTGCTGCCTGTAGTGGGAATTTGTTATCATTCTGACTGCAGCCTTTTGTTGGGTAATTAATGGTCTGAGATGGTTTATTGTTGTTGAGCCCCATGCACAAATTCCATAGGTGAGATAGGGGTAAATAAGTGAGTGATATAGGGCCAGGAAGGCTGACTGTGGAACATAGTATCGTATCTTCGATAGTATGCCTACGGTCTTGAAATTTTTTTTGGAAATTTGTTGTATATGTGTTTGAAATTTGAGTCTATTATCAAGGTGGATTCCTGTATATGTGTTTGAAATTTTTTGAGTCTATTATCAAGGTGGATTCCTAAGAATTTTCCTTCTGTGAGTTTTGTGATAGGTGATCCGTTTATCATTATGTTAAGAGGGACGTCTGTAGCTCTGTTACCAAACTGAATGAAGTAGGTTTTGCCAATGTTTAGAGTAAGTTTGTTAGTATTCATCCAGGTAGATAGAGTGCAGATCTGAAGGTAGGAAATCGCTTCTCTGTTCTCCAGGATGAATGTACTTCAGTGGCCAGTGAAGGTAAGGGTACTACTGCCCCTGCTAATGAAGGTAAGCGCATTCTTGTGGTTGGTGACTCTCAGGTAAGATATGTTGATCGTGCTTTTTGTAATAGGAATAAGAAGATGAGAGATAGAGTGTGCTTCCCTGGAGCTGGTGTTGGGGACATTGTCAACAGACTGGATAATATCATGTCAGGTAATGGGAACAAGCCCATTATCTGTCTCAGTGCTGGTGGAAATGATATTGGGAAGGGTAGGAGAGAAGAGCTGCTAGATAAGTACAGTCAGCTATAGATTTCATTAAGTCTAAGGGAGGGATCCCAATCATATGTAGCATCTTGCCTAGAAGGGGAGTAGGAAATGAATGGTTGTCTAGGGCAATTGGTGTAAATTGCTGGCTAGACAGATACTGCAAGGAACTTGCAATCCCATTAAATTGACAACTGGAACAACTTTATGGCAAACATGATATGTATGCAAGGGATGGGGTTCATCTCTCTGGGGCAGGGGTGGTAGCACTTGCAGACTCGATTGAGAAGGCCATTGGTGAAATGCCTATGATTTTAAACTGATGGAAGATAGAGGTTGGGTGTGTGTGGGAAACAAGCAGGTTGCAACACTAGGGTTGGAAACAGTAAATGTATAAAAGGCATTCAGCATGAAGTTATAAATAAAGACAATAGAACAGGTCAGCAAACAAAGGGGGACAGCAGAGGGCAGCAAGGGACTAGCTCCCTTAAGGTTTTACTATACTAATAGCAGGAGTGTTAGAAATAAGATAGATGAGCTAAGATTAATTGCAAGTGCAGAAACATAGATATTATTGCTATAACAGAGACCTGGCTCAATCTGAAAGATAGAGAGATGCCCTCTGAATGTCACATACAAGGCTATAAATTATTCCACACTGACAGGGTCAACAGGAAAGGTGGTGGAGTAGCGATGTATGTCAGAGACAATTTAAATTGTTGTGTTAGACAAGATATTAAATTAGAAGCGTCAGCCACTGAATCTGTTTGGTTACAGCTTCTCGAGGGCCGAGAAAAACTAATTTTGGGTGTGATTTACAGGGCCCCAAATCTTGATAGGGAGTGCAGTAAACTTCTATGGGACGAAATTCGTAAGGCATCTACATACGAAAATGTTGTGCTAATGGGAGATTTCAATTATAGACAGATTGACTGGAGCAATTTGACAGGAAATTTAGAGTCGGGTGACTTTCTTGATACGATCCAGGAATTGTTTTTTAAAACAGTTTGTGACAGAGCCAACTAGGGAAATAACCTCCTTGACTTGGTTCTTGCCAGTAGGGAAACACTAATTAATAATCTTGAGGTTAATGATGAGCTTGGGAGAGTGATCACAAATCACTCAGTTTTAAAAATATCATGGAATTCCCCTAATAATGGCAATCAAGTCTCCGTCCCTGACTTTCGCTTTGGGTGATTTCATAGGACTGAAAAATTACTTAGGTGGGCTGAACTGGAATGACCTGACTAGGGGGCAGGTAGGTGGTGATGGTTGCCGATATGATGCTTTCCAGGGCATAGTTCTAGCTGCTCAGTCAAATTAAAGTTCCAAATAGGGAAATCAGATCAAACAAAAATGATCCTAAAATGGATGAACAATAGATTAAAATATCTGATTGGTCAAAAGAGAGGCATATATAGGCAAATCAAAAGAGGAGAGGGGCAATTAAGAAATCGATATATTCAGTTAAAGAGAGAAATAAAAAAGGAATTAGAAAAGCAAATAGAGATTATGAGGTTAAAGTTGCAAGAGAATCGAAGACTAACCCAAAAGGATTCTTTCAGGTATACAGAAGTAAGATCAGGGACAAGATAGGCCCACTCAAAAGTTCCTCGGGTCAGCTCACTGACAGTGATAAGGAAATGTTGTAGAATTTTTAACACATACTTCCTCTCAGTTTTACACAGGAGGATTTCCAGCGATATTCCAGTAATGATAAATTATGTAGAACAGGACGATAATAAACTGTGCACTATTAGGGTCACAAGTGACATGGTCCTTAGGCAAATAGATAAATTAAAACCTAACAAATCCCCAGGCCCTGATGAACTGTATGCAAGGGTTCTAAAGGAATGTAAAGAGGAGCTTAGCACACCTTTGGCTAATCTTTTCAACATATCACTACAAACTGGCATGGTGCCAGATAAGTGGAAAATGGCAAATGTGATACCTATTTTCAAAACAGGTGACAGGTCCTTAGCTTCGAACTATAGACCAATAAGCCTAACCTCCATAGTGGAAAATTTATGGAATCAATAATTGCCGAGGCAGTTCGTAGCCACCTTGAAAAGCATAAATCATCAACGAATCTCAGCATGGTTTTACAAAGGGGCGTTCCTGCCTTACGAATTTATTAACTTTTTTCACTAAGGTAATTTGAGGAGGTAGATCATGGTAATGAATAGATATTGTGTATATGGACTTCAGTAAGGCTTTTGACAGGGTCCCACATCAGAGACTATTGAGGAAAATTAAAGCACATGGAATAGGAGGAGAAATTTTTTCCTGGATAGAGGCATGGTTGACAAATAGGCAGCAGAGAGTTTGCATAAATGGGGAGAAATCAGAGTGGGGAAGCGTCACGAGCGGTGTTCCACAGGGGTCAGTGTTGGGCCCCCTGCTGTTCACAATCTACATAAACGACATAGATGAGGGCATAAAGAGCGACATCGGCAAGTTTGCCGATGACACCAAAATAGGCCGTCGAATTCATTCTGACGAGGACATTCGAGCACTCCAGGAAGAATTTGAATAGACTGATGCAGTGGTCGGAGAAGTGGCAGATGCAGTTTAATATAGACAAATGCAAAGTTTTTAAATGTTGGACAGGACAATAACCATGCCACATATAAACTAAATAATGTAGATCTTAATATTTACGGAT